ATGTACACGTGACCTATGCATACGTAGAAAGTTCTCATGTCCCTATTATGTGAAGAAGAAGCCAAATATGGTGTGATTGCGCCACAATTGTCGTACAATTTTAATACATGTCTTAAAATCGTACAAGCTTTTTATTGGCGTACACAACAGTTGCAAACAAGAAGTAGGATCTATTCACAGGATACGTGTTGTAAGGATGTCGTCAGCAGGTTGCATGTAATGGTATTGTAAGAAAATGTTGTACCGTTTACGCCGCGGCCTTAATAAAAAACATCCGTTCATGAGAATCGTTGTTGTGAAGCATCTGTCCGGCAAGAAGAAGTTTAACGTACCTGATATAGCCTAATCTGTGATTAGCCCTAACTGGATGATGTGCTTCACTTCAATTGTCAACTAGTTCGCCAGGTCGTTAAGTTTATAACACTTGCATTGTTATCGAGTAAAACACATGAAAACAATTCAAAAGTGCGTTTTGTTCGCTGTAATGTTCGCCACACTTTTTGRCATATTTGAAGCCTCAGAATTTCAGCGGTTACTGAACCGACAATTCATCTGCAATGGGTATGTTGAGTTTTCATGCAAATATGMAAAAATATTGTGTCACCATCATAACAGAAAGTTAATAAAACGTCACGTTGTAACTGAATCATGCCTAGTCACAAAAGCTGATACAGCTGAAATAGTCACTTCAAAAATCACATATATCATAGCAAGGCTCCGAAGAATAAAATCTGATTTTATATTTTGTATCGATAAGGTTTGATAAGGTAACAAACGTCGATTTGTAAATTCGTTTTTGAAAATGTTCTTTTTTCGCGAGAAAATGCTAAATCGGGATTTCAGAGTCCATCATGTGGACCAAATGAATCACAAGGCTTGATTGTATCATAGTTAATAGAGAGGACATCTCTATTAACTATGATTGTATTAAGGCCTCATTGCACAAATAAGGACACGTGTCAACCCTGCATACAGGGTCTAGTTGTGATATTTATGCAACGACATTCATGAATATGCACGTGTAGGTAAAATTGAATATATAATTGATGAATCTTCTTTGRTGACATGAGATCCATTCATATGGACATCCATAGATGGAAGTCGCACGGTAGTCTCTAATCGGCAAATAACGTTTCGCCGAACAACTGAGAGTAGACTGGAGACGAGGCTASATCTGCCACGCTTAAAATATGCTTCATTTTATCCATATGGGCTGCTTTGTCAATCTAGGTCCACGTGAAAAGCACGTGCATGTGGTGTTTTTATTATTATTGTTTTTTCTTGAATCTAGAACAGCAAACATGAAATAATAACAAATGAAAAAAAAACATACAAAGAAATTCGCYTGAAAACGGCATCATGCCCAGTTCATGCATTTCCATCACCCCAACCCGCTCGTAATATTAAAAAACTGAATGATCTAAAACTGTATTCAAGTATAACAGTAAGGTTAGCTTCCCTTTATATTTGCTAATTACTAATTTTTCTTCCAACTTTGTTTGATCAGCAGCAACACCGTTTCGATATAACAAACCAATCCGTCACTCAATCTAGTTAGAAGTCACAGGCTGTATTTGTTTACATTTTGTTCATTTGATGATATAAACGGATAGAATGAACTCTAAGTYCCGATTGTTTAATAACTCAACTTTATTCCAGCAAAAAATTAAAAACGAGCTCAGTAATTGCTTTTGTTTCTTTGAAGAGGCTTCGATTCCGGAAAGTAACGACGAATTCAAGGGACTTGATATTTGGTCAAAACACGTTCCTTACACTAACCCACGTCTTTGCTGTGTAAATCAAAGCAAGCTGTACAAATATTTGACGTAAATACAATGGGAAATGTTGATTTTAAAGATCAACTTGTAAGTACCGAAAGAAAAGAGGTTCTATCGATAGATCCTGGTAAACCACAATGAAGCCCTCAGGTGTCTTCATGGGTGTGTTCGTTTGCATTWCTTTTGTTTCACGGATCTYAATACTTGTCCATGCTGAACACAACAACAAGGTAAAAATGKTTKYTCCTAATTCACCGCAGCAACATCCAGAATATCCAAGATGATCTAGTTCATGCTTGTCGCCTGCGAGCTCATGTTATGTACAGTTCAACATCAATGAATTTAATAATTATCGACTTCAGTCTAGTTATTTCAGCTTTAGGGTCTCAGTACGGGTTTTTTGTCCGACKTTCTTATTTTCTAAGAAARGGGAGGAGSTAATGAATTAAAACTTTGACAATTGAAATATTTCCTAAAATCTTTCCATGCCAAGCTGCGTCCATAGTTTTTTTTAGAATGCAGTTTTTTAAAATTGACTTTCGTGTAGAATCAGTTGCTTGATTAAGACTCATTAATAATTCATGAGGTAAGTCACCATATTGTTCATTACAGATCAGTCTTCACAAGCCTGTTTGTGCAAATTCTAGACCGCAATGCAATGCGCAATGTTAYTTATTTTAATTGTTATACTATTAAATTACACTTTGTCTTTTTCCTCTGTTCTAGATAACAAAATATCAGGCAAACTATCGTCAAGTAAAAGGTCTAAAGAGCTGTGGTCCTGATTGTTCTGGTGTATGTGTTGATGGGGTTTGTGTTGGTGGTAGCGGTGGAAGTGGACAGTGTACTATTGAYGTTGACAAAGTTTTTAAAACTTGCTGTAAGACAGGGAGAGACGGTAAGTACACAAACTAATATTTTCACTAATGTCGGGCTTTCAGTTTGAACCGAATTAATTTTAAACTCTCTTCAATTGCAATCGGACGTTTTTCGTCATGATTTTAGAAAGATTTTCACACGTAAATTGTGCATTTTGTATATTTCTTATCTACCAAAGGCAGCACTGCGCGCATTTTATGCAATTATGTAAACGAGTTTAGCAAGCAACTGTTGCGCACTGCTTGCACTTGATTCACTAATGCCACGTATATTCAAATGGCACATTGATTTACATAAGTTGTGTAAACTTACACTTCAATAAACTCCTGAAGATTGAGGCTTCGCCTCATGAAACAGGCCGCCTGTAGAGGTTTGACTAGTAACTCTCTAAATAAGTTGTTTATCAAGTAGAAAATAACATATTATACTTCGAAAATTCAAAAGAACGATGGTCAAAAAAAATACACATGCTTGAACTTTTTGAGGATTTTTGATAAACAGTCATGATTTAGATTGTCTAAACACATTCTGTTCTATTGATCGTCTAGGGAGAGACGGGAAAGATGGTCGTGACGGGCAGCAAGGTCCGAAAGGTGACCGAGGTGAAAAAGGCGAAAAAGGAGAACAAGGAGTAAAGGGAGACAAGGAAAGTTTTTTGAGAATATTTATGCTCGAAAACAAAGAATGATTATATAAGTGATTTGGACACAAAACACAGCGGCTATGAATATGAGAATGAAAACTTGATGTTTCGAGGCCATCGCCACTTTGCTTTCTTGTATCGTTATTTTTTGATAATGAGCGCGATGGCTCCGAAATGTCAGTTTTTCAGTCTCATATTTACTGTATTTTAAGTAGAGAATTCCTCAGAATTCCACGGAATCGTCATGTTCTACTCACAATCTAATATTTGTTACTTTGCTTAAAATGTATTAGCATTACCACATTAAAAAGAGTCAAGTTAACAATCGATAATAACTTTAATATAATTATTATCATTTCACCAGGGTGAGTCAGGGAAGCCAGGCCTTCAAGGTCTACAAGGACTTCAAGGAATGAAGGGTGACCTGGGTCTGAGGGGACCTCCTGGGTTAAACGGAACTTGCACGTGTCCTATTACAGAGAATGTGAATATCTGCATTTATTGATTCATTGCATCCATTTTGAAATCACTAGCAAATCATGAAATCTGATTGGTCAAAAATGGTGCAATTTAATTAACAAATAAATTCTATTATCCCGTGCGTCTGATTGATAAGAACAAACGAAACGAATTGAAGATTCAAGTTTCGCTAAAAGTCATCAGATTGCAAAATAGACACGCACAGTACAAGTGACGTAAAATAGACACACGCGCACAGTACAAGTGACGTAAAATAGACACGCGCACACAGTACAAGTGACGTAAAATAGACACACACGCACAGTACAAGTGACGTAAAATAGACACACGCGCACAGTACAAGTGACGTAAAATAGACACGCGCACACAGTACAAGTGACGTAAAATAGACACACACGCACAGTACAAGTGACGTAAAATAGACACACGCGCACAGTACAAGTGACGTAAAATAGACACGCGCACAGTACAAGTGACGTAAAATAGACACACACGCACAGTACAAGTGACGTAAAATAGACACACGCGCACAGTACAAGTGACGTAAAATAGACACGCGCACACAGTACAAGTGACGTAAAATAGACACACACGCACAGTACAAGTGACGTAAAATAGACACACGCGCACAGTACAAGTGACGTAAAATAGACAC